CAGGGCAGGATTTCATATTGAAGAAATTTAACAATATTATAGTTTAAAAACACAATAGAATGACGATGCAGAAAGGGAAATTAATGCGCGGATGTTACAATCAGGGATGTAAAGTTAACAATAATATGAAAGTTTGACTTGTTAACCCAAAAGGGGTACTCATCCAAAGAAAAAGGAAACAAAAAATCAAGAGATAAAATGAAGTTAAAATTATTGATATTAGAAAATCAGTCATACCTGGTGGAATATTAAATGCCTGAACTTGAAAGAAACAATTTGCAATTTCAGCAGCAGAAATATTGTCAACTTGGCTTGCAAGTGCCGAAAAAGTAGCATCTCGGCAAGTACTCAATGTCATATTATCATCTGCACCAACGAGATGATGAAGGTATATGATGCCAGCATTTAAACACTTCTTACAATTAGTCTCCTGCAGATGAGGCACTTTACAGTTTTCTGTTACGTTGACAAATTTAGGAGACTCAATCATCTGTGTGACAGATGTTCGACCCCTACAATCATAACTAACAAGAATTTTTGTCCCAAACCCACAGAAAATTGTGGCATTCCGTGGAACTCCATACAATTCCATTCTTTGCAATACGGAACGTATGCAAACATCAGACAGATCGGGAGGAACTCCTAGGTTGCCTGTCACATTTGCATAGCGAGCAACAGAAACTGAAACAAAAGCATTCATATAGCGGCAACATTTCCCCCTTTCATCATTATTAAAGCATATTGATGCCAATAGAGTAAAATTTGACCCACTCAAATCTAATGGGCAATCTGCAAAAGTAGCAGGAGTATTATCAACAGTAATCTCTTGCATTGAAATTCATCACTTGCAGGGAGTGATCATAGACTATTTACCTGGATACAGGAAATCTTGATGATAGATGGTAGTGCTATTATCAGCTGAACTTCTGTAACCTTTGGATAAAAGTGAACAGACAAAGACATCCAATGGTTAATAAAAAACCTTTCAAAAGGAAGATAAAAATGATATTATAAAAATCACTACTAATTCATAAGTGATAGCATTAATATGAACAGGCTTCTGGTCAGAAAAGTGAGGAAAGATGATGCAGTTGCCTCTGTGGTAAACCTGTTTCTCACTCAACATATTTATATGGATCCAAAATTGTAACAGCCCAATGCAATTTAGTTTTTTTTTTTTTTTTAATTTTCAAAATGCTAGCTCAACTTCCAAAGAAGCTTTGAGTAACCACAGATCAGCAATTATGGAATACCACAATCAAGCACAACACTTCTTTGTATAGTTATTAGTTTTTATTTGGCATGCCCCATAAAGAGTTACAAGTTTTCATACTCTAAACCAATACACTAAACATGTTAGGCTCATTAGGTTGATAATGTTGGAAATCATCTTCACCAACACAGATGATGGTTGTAACCATGCCAGGTTAGTCCCCACTCCCCAGTCCACTTCAGACAATTTAAAAATGTAGAGCCGAGACTGGATGAGCCTCACTGACAAAATAGGACTTGGAAGGAAAAGAGACCATAAATTCCCAATAATGACAGGGTGACCCAATGCAGAAAGATATAGAACCAACATTATCTCAAACAAGGTTTAGATAACTGAAAGTTATAATGCATCCCCTAAAGGAATTGTTCCAGTTTCTATCACTGATGCACGAGGGGTTCCATTCCCATGTATTGTAAATGCAAACTAAGTATTTTGCCATGTACTAGGCCTTAGCCCCATTTATCACCAAAACGAAAAGCTTCCCTCAAGGTAGTTGTGACTCCTAACTAACTCCATTGTGTAAAGCCAAAGATTGAAAACATTGGGACACAATGCCCTCAAGGCCTCATCTTGTTCTCAATCTCAAACTTTAAATACATATGACGAAGTGGCTACTTCATATGACCAAATTGCATAATCAAGAGCTCCAAGTATACCATTTTTGGTAAGCAAAACTAGCTTAATTCCTAAATGTTGACAGTACACCAGTTCATGTCAAGATAATACCATAACCTACTTTTTCTGCAAGTCTTAGAGAAGTGTTTAAATGACTAAAAGTCCAGGAGATTGCAGGTCTTATTTGCTTTATTCTAATTACTTGTGGCATATACATTGATTGCCATTGGCTTAGATTTGGCAAGCATCAAGAGAAGACTAACTTAAAGCCCAAAAAGCAAACAAGAAATATCTATCGCATTCCTACTGCATTGAGCAAAACACAAACAAGTCATGTAAATGCAAAAATCCCATCCAGACTCCAGAGTCAACACTTTCGCCGCAAAAAGGTAAGTGTTGAAGAAAACAGCTTTAAATACTCATTAAGCTAAACACAAATCCCTTAGATACTAAGATTGGATACCGAAGTATCCTAAAATCATGAAAATCTAAGGAAATGGGAAGACCGGAAGAGAAACAAAGTTCTAAATAAACCATCCTCAAGCAGATAATAGGTCACATAATGCATGCAACCAAAAGCTATACAACATTCTAGCTGCCCGTTGCGCTCAAAACAGGAATAGTTTCAGAGAATGCGTGTGCCTGTGTTTCAAACGAAGGATAACTCAACAATTTATGGTTCAAACCCAATATTATCATTTTCCATGACTCCACTTTCACCTATGCAAACCGGAAAGAAGAAACCACCCAAAATGATACCACTTCAAGAAAAAAATAATAATAAAAGACAACAAACTGGAAAGAAACGAGAGCAAACGAAATATAAAAATTCGATTGAACCAACCTGCCATTATCAATGGAAGATGCAGTCCAAGAAATGTGAGGAAACCCATGAACAGTTCCCGTCTGTACAACGCCATGGTCCGCCAAAGGAACAATCTTTTGCCCAGAAAGAGGGAGAGAGCACTCGAAGCAGGGAAGAAAGGAATAAAGAAAGCTGAATACTTTATGGGTGTGTATCCAGCAGCACATCTGAGGACTCTAGGGGGAAAGAGAGCCAATAGTTTTGAGGAGTGTGAGGGGCACTGGCCATTGAATGCGTGTGGCTTGAATCATACTCTCATTTGTCCTTTTTGTTGTACATTTTCTCTCATTCATGTGGAGCCTTCCAAGCCATCAAGGTTCGAAATTTTTTAACTGCATCTTAAATACTCATGGTATGGAACCACTTTCATGCTTGATGGGTCATCCCATGTCGGCTAACATAGATTGTGTAAGAAGTTTATAAAATGTATTATATAATTTAATATTAATTATTAAATAAAAATTAAAAGCTAAATTTTAAGAAATTCTTCTTGTTATAATATAATTTATACTACAAAACAAATGTTTTTTATAATTTGTTTACTGCTAATTTTAGGGCTATTATCAACTGCATAAAACTAATCAAAGAAGGGAGAACCCAAAGCACCTGTTTTTTTTTTTTTTTCTAATACCAATTTAGTTAACAAAGGTTTTTTTATATATATAGAAAAGTACTGTATCTAAAATTAAAAACCTAAAGGTTGATGGATTCTGTAACAAAATTTTTTCAAAGTATTTTTGAGTTTGTTAATTTTTTCATATTTTATAAGAAGTTGGTTTTGAAAAAAGCTAAAAGAAAAACCAGGTCCTATTATAAGAATGTTGGGTTAAAAATTTTTTTCATTTAAAATGATGAGAAAGGAAAGTATAACTTCACAAACCTACATCATAGAGATTTTCAACGACTTTAACACTTGAAAATCTCAATGATATTTTTTCGAAAAAAACACTCCGATACTCAAGTCAACAATACTCTTTAGAGAGAGAAACTCTCAAAAAGTAATTGCAGAAAAAGAAGCATAGTCAAGTTAATGCCTTGAGTGAAAGTAGTTTGGGTATTTATAGCCTCCAAGTCTTAACACAAGACTACACATATAAACCTTTGATTAGTCTACGTGCATGCACTCACGTGGGTATGTCTGTACTAGTATATAGATGTCTCTTTATCTTGAGCTTATAGATAAATGATTGGAGCTGTTGTGCATGGCCCAAGTTGAATGTTGGGCCATTCCAAACAGCATACTTAGGAAAATTTCAGGAAGCCTGCCGCCAAAGGAAAGAGAAAAGGATGGCTAGGTTTCTTTCAGAGACAGATGAGAAAGAAGAGTTTAGTTATTGGTAATTGGGTTACGAAAATAGAGTTTTAAAATGTCAATTTCATCATAGTTATAATATTGTGACGCAAAAATATTAAAATAAGGAAAATGACATTTCAAATACTAAACAATGTGCTATTGTCCCCCTCATTAATGACTACGTTTTTTATGGTTGGACTTGTATCGTAATACAAAAAGCCTTATTGATGAATTTAGTATAAAAATTATTACTTTTTTTATTTTAAAATAAAAGGCTTTTAGTCCTTTTGTATATATTTTTAAGAATTACTTTTATATCATACATAAATAATAATTAAAAAATTTTAATGGCTGTCTTAATTGTTTTAATTCAAAGTATGGGTTCTGATTGTTGGTTTTGGTTTCGGCCTTTATTAGTGTGTCCGTTACTATCATCTATAACAAAGAATTGGCCTCCACCAAAAAATAAAAAAATTGAGATTGAACTATCAAAAGAAAGCGATATTGGCCCAACCCAAATTGAGTAGG